TATTTATTTTATTTAATTTGTTTATTTTATTTATTTATTTCCTTTTTTTATTTTTTTATTTTGGTTGGTTTTATTTTGGTTCGTTTTATTTTTGTTGGTTTTATTGTAGACCTACCCACATTCATCGTGTACGTTTTTTTTCTTTTTTCTTTTTATTTATTTATTTATTTTGTCTATTTCGTTTATTTATTTTGTTTATTTTATTTATTTATTTTATTTGTTTTATTTATTTTATTTATTTGTTTCCTTTTTTAGTTTTTTATTTGTTTGGTTCTATTTTGGTTGGTTTTATTGTTGACGTAGCCACCTTCATCGTGTACATTTTTTATTTTTTTATTTATTTTTATTTTATTTTATTTTTTCGTTTGTTTTATTTTATTTGTTTTTATTATATTTTATTTTATTTTTTTTGTTTTTATTTTATTTTCTTTGCTTTTGTTTGTTTTTGTTTTATTTTATTTTATTTGTTTTTGTTTTATTTTATTTTATTCGTCCTTGTTTTTATTGTATTTTATTTTATTTTATTTTATTTTGTTTCATTTTATGTTGTTTTATTTTATTTGTTTTTATTTTATATTTATTTTTATAATTATCCAATTTATTATAAATAATATAAATATAAATATAAATATAAACGTAAATATAAATATAAACATAAATAAAAATAAAAAAGACTAAATGTAAATAAAAAATAAATATAAAAATAAATATAAATATAAATATAAATAAAGAAAAAAAAAAAATAATTTTATTAGTGTGTTTTTTTGTTTAGGTTTTGGGGTTGGGTGTTTGTGATAACAACGACGATAATATTATTATTTTTTAAGGAGACAGATGCAGCAGAGCAGCAGCAGCAGCAGCAGCAGCAGCAGCAGCAGCAGCAGCAGCTGCAGCAGCTTGCTGCTCCTACAAGACATGTAGAAGCACAAACTTATGCGGGCCCCATCAGCGGCGGAGAAGAAATTCATTTCTTTGCTGATAATATTCTACCCACGTAAACCCTAAACCCTAAACCCTAAACCCT